TTCACCATCGGGTGCTTCTGTCTTATCATTTTTAACTGTCTTCGTTGTCAGTGTCAAATCAAATCACTTTTATTGTCACATCACATGTGCAGGTACATTGGTACAGCACATGCGAGTGAAATTCTTGTGTGCGAGCTTCACAAGCAACAGAGTTGTGCAAAATACAATAACATAAACAGGCAAAATATACGAATGGCTAAATCTGAAACTAATAAATATATGTACAATATATAATAGTATATGCAAAAAAAATTTTTTTCTGGATGTGTATACTAAATGTTTTTCTACGTGTGTGTGTGTGTGTGTATACACATATTTTACAAATTAAATAGAATCAATAAAAATTAAAAAATATAAAAATATACAGAGTTGAATATGTGCAAAACAGTGGCATTACTGTACAGTATGGAGTGCATAATGTTGAAGTTCCAGTTGTGAAGCTGAGGTGTCTATGACGTGTTCAGCAGTCTGATGGCCTGGTGGAAGAAGCTGTCTCTCAGTCTGCTGGTACGGGACCGGATGCTGCAGAACCTCCTTCCTAATGGAAGTAGTCTGAACAGCTGGGGTGACTGGAGTCCTTGATGATCCTCCCCGCTTTCCTCAGGCAGCGCTTCCTGTAGATGTCTTGGAGGGAGGGAAGCTCACCTCCAATTATCCGTTCAGAGCACCGCACTACTCGCTGGAGAGCTTTGCAGTTGTACGCGGTGCTGTTGCCATACCAGGTGGTGATGCATCCAGTGAGGATGCTCTCAATGGCACAGTGATAGAAGGTCCTGAGGATGCGGGGGCTCACGCCAAATCTTTTCAGTCTCCTGAGAAAGAAGAGGCGCTGCTGCGCCTTCTTCACTGTTTTGTTTGTGTGTACTGACCACGTAAGATCCTCAGCCAGATGTACACCAAGGAACCGGAAGCTGCTCACTCTCTCCACAGCAGCGCCATTGATGGTGATGGGGGTGTGTACTTCTCTGCACCTCCGGAAGTCCACTATCAACTCCTTTGTCTTTGCGACGTTGAGGGTGAGATGGTTGTCTTGACACCAGTGGGTCAGGGCGCTGACCTCCTCCCTGTAAGCCGTCTCATCACCGTTGGTGATAAGACCCACCACTGTAGTGTCGTCCGCAAACTTCACAATGATATTGGAGTTGCTAGTGGCCATGCAGTCGTAGGTGTAGAGTGAGTACAGGAGAGGGCTCAGTACACTCCCCTGTGGAGCACCAGTGTTCAGTGTGATGGGGGTCAGTTAATTGATGGTCAGAAGCTTCGTCCGGTGCGATGTTCGGCCTATCTATTGAGCAAAGTGGCTAAGAGCTATGGAAAGATTGCATATACGCTTATAATACATGTATCACATATAATCTAGAAACAGGCCTGAATAAAGACCTGAGTGTATTCAGCAACCTGCTGCGTTTGAGTTTGCTTGGTAACAGATGACTCAGAATAAGTCAGGAAGTGTACTTCTGAAATGTCTTTGTTTCCTCTGTAAAGTGTGCATTTTTTGGTGGTTATTTTGAGGAGCTGTCTGGATGAGGCTATTTGAATAACCAGGTTATTCATTGTTATCTTTTATTCTTTTATATTCTTTTATTAAGTTTTAAGTAGTATCATTTGATTAAAACATTTATTCAATATATTACACATATAGTTTCAGTTGTGTACGTGCTGGCCTTCGGTCTGGTGGAAAGGTTACAAGGTTTAGCTGGTGAGGTGAGAGGTGAAACTGAGTACATTTCAGGTTGACACATACACACACACACCCACACACAGTAGATAGGCTCATTTATAGGTGAAAGTTTAATTATATTTTTCTTGTTACTGCAAAATTGTGCCTGCAAAAGAACAGTTTGTTGCAAAATGTGTGCCTGATGTTCCAGACAATAAGCGGGCGTCCGGCAGCGACAGGAAGCACCTGCCATGGAGACGGAGACAATGTTCTTTTTTAACTGTGTCACAAGTTGTCAACAGAACATTTGTGGTTTTGAAACTTATGCATGTGATGACGCATGAGGGGCGTTATAAATTTCCCTGATGATATAAAACAACTGATTGTGTATTGTTCGAGTGAGATCGATGCTGTCTGCATACAGTGTTCATCTCCCACACGTGTGTTCATTAAAATCATCGTTTGACTCCACCCGGCCGGATCAGTGTTGTTATTTCGATTACCTCCTGTATCCCTCCTCAATATTTCAACCCTTAACAATCTTAATTGCACTTTGGGGATAAATAAAGTCTCTCTGACTCTGACTCTGATTAGAAAGAAGGAACTTGACTTATTGATGAATGGAAAACCCACTGTAGGTGTTTAGTGGTTAGATGCCAATTGACTCTGGGCAGAGCAGACCCCAGCTGAGAAAGGGAGACTAGACACTGCTGGTGGAGTTGAGGGTGGCTTGAATGAAGCTTGAGTGCTGAGATTCGGAGATGGGGAGCAGGTGGATTGCACAAAGGAGTCTGCGAAGGAGAAAGACAAATGCAGATGAAATTTAAAGTACGAGGCATGAATGTTGATTGGCCTGGAGAAGGGCGGGAGAAGGTGATTGGACTAGACCGGTGATGACACCTTTTCTACTGTAACATTTACAACCACAAAGTTAGTTTCAGGTATGACATTAATACCATATAAAGTACTGTTGAAACACTATTATATACAGTAAATGCCTCCTGTAACTTGACTCTTATGGTTTTGGGAGGTGTTTGTTCATCTGTTTGTAAACCTGATAAACTGCATTCTGCCAAGGTAACAGCATTGGCATCATCAGCTTGCAGTCAGGTGAGATGTACAGGTTCCTTGTTTTTGAGTCAGATACAACACAGACACACCTGAGCGAGGATGTCCAATCTCTTTCTCACACTTTCTTTCCATCATTTTAAGGTGAAACAACAGTGACAGGTGAGTGAGAACAAACTCAGCAGGTTTTATTCCTGGGTGTTTGTTTTTCTCATTTCTGACAAAATTAAAATTGCAGGGTACAAATGTTTATGTAATTAAAAGTGCTAAATTCAGAATCTTGTTAGTGTCAGAGTAAGGTGTTCTCATTCTGAAGAGCACGTTAAAAGTAGGAATACTGCAACTGTGTCTTTTTACTTCAGGTACGTGCTGTTGATTTTCAACAAATACAATTCACTTTCCTCCCTTAACATGTTTGTCCTTTTTAACTGGACATATGAGTGGTTCAGAGGTCAGACAAGTTTTTATCCAGCTATCATCATTATGGAAAGTAAATGAAGAAACACTTTCAGTCATGCGATCTGTCAACCAGTGGCTGAAGCTACATCATCAAGCCTTTTTCATGTTTCATTAATTTCCTTTGTGTGTGAATGAGTCGATCAGCCTCAGAAAGCTTTATTAATCTTTTCAGTGGAACAGACTATGGCAGGAGCAATGAAACAGAGCTCTGGGATTCAAAGTCTGTAGCCTCACCATCACTGAGTGAATGCAGTGAGCTGTGGTTTCAGGCTTAGCAGAGGGACCAACAACAGCTTAGACAAAGACTGCATTCCATTTAAGCAATTTTCTATTATTGTTCGTGCATGTTAATAATTTACTGGAACATAGAGATGAGTCATTGTCATGGTATTAATTCTACCTGTACATTTCCTGTTGTGACAGCTGAAATTCTTCCAGAGTAAGAGTTGTGACATTAAGCTGACGTAACAGCAACTGGTCAAAAGAACAGTCATATTGATAACAACACTAATAAACACATTTACTAAATGAACTACAGTGGAACCCCGACTTACGAAAGTAATCCGTTCCCGAGGTAAGTCGAAGCAGCCATCACGCCTTTTGAGTGAGGCGATGCTGGCTGGAGACGAAGTTCTCAGTGGCGGAGGCTGAAGAAAGCATACGTATGCATGCATACAGCACCACCACAGGGAAAACTGGCATAACATTACGGTGTAAAGTTCTTGATTTTTTTCATTCAAAGATTAATCAGGCTTTAAACATAAGGAGGTAGTGCAACAGACACTGAAGTGCATGTTAAAGACGAAAGAAAACATTATTTTTATTAACAAACATTTTTAATCCACCAACAGCCCTGGCATCTAAAAACACTACAAGTGAAAAAGAATGGCAACAAAAAACAATGTACTATTCATTCAGACATTTTTACACAATTATTAACACTTCAACTTTCTTTGTAATGTCTGCTTGTATTTTAAGAAGTATCACATCTGGGTAAAAATATTACCACTAACTCAAAATTAGAGGAATAAGTGTACATATGTGTCAGTTGTATGCATGCATGCATACATATGCTGCATGTATATAACATTCTAAACATTCTAAACATTCTAAAACATTAAAACTAAAACTTTCATATTTTTAAAACTTGTATTGTATAATTTTTTTAATTTTCTATTTTATAATTTTTTTTAATTTTATATTTTTGTGCATTTTTATGTTTTTTAACTAATCACTACTGCTACTTTCATCGCTTTTTTCACCTTCTAAGGCACACTTTCACCTGGTTGACTTGCTGCTAGCCTCTTTGTGAAAAGTTTATCTAACAACGTCTGTCTCTGTCTACTTTTCAAAATGGATATCAAGTGGGAGAGGCAGATGTCACTAAAATGCTCTATAGCACGAGCGGTAAAGTTCTTTTCAGGGTGATTTTTTTCGACAAAATCGGCCACCTTCTGAAAATCGCGGAGAATGTCCTTGATATCGCCCGATGGTATGACGGCCTCCTCCTCCTCGCCGAATTGTTGCTGTACTGATGAGTGCTGCATCGCTTCCAACTCTTGCAGCTCTGTCGTTGACAACTCCTCTTGATGTTCAAGCACAAGGTCGTTTATATTCTCCCCTTGACCTCAAGTCCCAGGGCGGTGCCAAGATTTACGATCTCCTCAACTTTGACTTCAGGTTGAGGTTCCCCCTCCTTCCCCTCAAAGCCTTCAAAATCTCAAGGGGCAACAGCATCAGGCCACAGCTTCCTCCAAGCAGAATTTAGCGTTCAACGACTCACCTCCCGCCATGCCAATGAAATCAACTTGAGTCATGCAACGATGTCGAAATTATTTTTCCAAAACTCCCTGAGGGTGAGCTGCGTACTCTCTGTTATGTCGGAACACCGTTTGAACATGTGTTTCGTGTACAGTTTCTTAAAATTAGAGATGACTTGCTGATCCATGGGCTGGAGGAGAGGGGTTGTGTAGGGAGGGAGGAAGAGAACCTTAATGAACGAGAACTCCTCCAGGATGTCGTCCTCGAGGCCAGAGGGGTGGGCGGGGGCGTTATCGATGATCAGCAGGCACTTCATGGGGAGATCGTTCTCCTCAAGGAACTTCTTGACAGCAGGGCCAAAGACCAAGTTGACCCATTCGACAAAGAACTGTCGGGTCACCCAGGCCTTGGGGTTGGACCTCCACATAACCTCAAGCCTCTCCTTTAAAATTTTGTGTTTCTTGAAGGCACGCGGGTTTTCTGAGTGGTACACTAGGAGTGGCTTGACCTTACAGTCCCCACTGGCATTAGCACACAGGGCGAGGGTAAGACGGTCTGTCATGGGCTTGTGGCCTGGCATCTTTTGTTCCTCCGCGGTGATGTGCATACGCTGCGGCATTTTATTCCAGAAGAGGCCGGTCTCATCACAGTTAGTACCTGCTGGGGGGGTGTAGCCTTCTTGGTTTATGAGTTCCTCAAATTTTCTAACAAATTCTTCGGCAGCCTTGTGATCGGAACTTGCTGCCTCGCCGTGACGCACAACAGAGTGGATGCCAGTCCTCTTCTTGAACCGATCAAACCACCCATGCGACGCCCTAAACTCTGGGGAGGATGGGGGTGCCTCCTGCAAGGACGTCGATGCCATTGGCTGCTCATTGGAAGGTGCCTTGCTTACTAAATCATTATAAATTGAGGACGCCTTCTCGCAAATGATCGTCTCGGTGAGTGTATCGCCAGCCTTTCCCTTGTCTTTAATCCAAACAAGGAGAAACCTTTCCATCTCATCGTGTATGTGGCTCCTCCTTTTGGACATGATGGTGGTGCCCGTTGAAGGTTTACCTGCTTTGATGACTTCTTTTTGTTTTAGAATTATTCCTATGGTCAAAGGATTTCGGCCATTCTCACGTGGAATAGCACTAAGTTTCACACCTCACTCATATTTATGAATAATTTCTCTCTTTGTTGTCATCGAGAGCACTTTACGCTTCTTCTTTTCACTCGAATCACTTGCAGGCCTCATTGTGAATGAACAATAGGCTATTGGCTAATTACTAACTGCAACATCAACACAATACGAAAGCCAAGGTGGTTGGCACATAATTCGGAAGGCATTCTAGGCATTCTGGGCATTCTGGGCTCGGCCAATCAGAGCCTGCTGATTTCGGAACACAGGCATTTTGCCGTAACACGGGCAGAAATATTGCCGTTCAGTGCCTTCATAACTTGAATTTTCCGTTTAACGGGGTATTTGTAAGTTGCGGTTCCACTGTATATTTGCATTATAAATTATGTGATGGGAAATTATACTGAGCGAGTACATGATCAAGAATTTTGACTTTGTTAGGGAAACAGGGGGAGTTGTTTGAAACACTGACTTCAGTTACAAGTTGTTATTATTGTTACATTAAAACTATGTGGTGTGTATATCAAGAGTTAAACTAGATATTATTTTGACCATATGATCCATGAGCAGGCATTTCTATGCTATTACAAGGGCACTCTACTAATATACTGTACTAATGTGTCAGATCATGTTTTTCTACCAAATCTGTCTTGATCTAAACTACATTCCCTGTTAAGTGTTTGTGGCATTAAGATGCTGACAAAAGGTGTCCACAGGTACATACAGACACATCTGCCAAAGTGCTGAAAACTCCTTCGTTGTACTTCCTGTTAGAGCATGCATCCATTGGACTACATTTTACATTATGACACAACACAATACCAGCTATATTTCTTAACAGATCCGTTAGGATTTGTGGTACTACACTGTACTTTAAATATGCAAGGCATTAACAATTCATGATTGACATACTGAGTACGTAACAGTAAAGTTCAGGAAACACATACAGGTGATCACACCCACAAACTACACCCTTTTTGGCTTCTACCTCAAAGCACACTGTGTTCTGTTGATCTTATGTGCTGCACAATAATGTTTAACATTTAGTATTTACTGTCATATTCCCATATATCATTGTGATGTTGTTTATTCTATTACTCTTGTTTTCTTTTTTCTTTCTCAGCAGGTGATCCAGGTGATTGATATATGCATTTTTTATTTCTTTTTTTTTTTCTGCTCATTCTGTTGGTTTTTGTTTTTTGCCCTTCTCCCCCGTCCCTCTTCTCAGCTGTTTCTCTTTCCCTCTTTCTTTCTCCCCTTCTTTCCCCCAGTCAAGTCTGTCCCGTATTCAGTAAATGAAAATAAAATAAACAATAAAAGGTGAATCAAATGGACCATTACGGCAAGGCTGGGATGGTCAATTTGGTAAAGCAAATCCGTTGGGCATCTTTCTTTGCCTTTAGACAACAATTCTGATGGCAAAAGAGCCAAACGGGACAGGCAAAAAAAAAAAAAAAAAAAAAAAAAGGAAACACATCCTAGCTGTGTCTCTGCTATACTGCCTTGACTTGAAGTACTAATTGCATTTTGCCCTCCAGCTCTCTTCTAATAAATCATGTTCTGTAACTAATAATATTCATGTTATGAAAGTTAAATTATACTCAATGTTTTTTTTGAGAATTTAAATCTTGCAGATTAAAAATGTAAGTCAGTTGAACGATAAAAACCTTTTTGAGCAGTAATGCGCTCACAAGGTAATGTTCAAACATGCAAGACATGTGTCACCTGTACACCTTGAACAGTTATCTTTCAAGGTGCACACACAATAACTACAATTGTAGTTGTGAACCAAGAGATCAAGATCAGAACTAGTGATGGGAAGTTCGGCTCTTTTCAGAGAGACAACTCTTGTGGCACGACTCCCAAGGAAGAGCTGGCTCTTTTGGCTCCCAAATGGCTTCTAATTTATTATCTTCAACAGCATAATATTTTAGCCTTACTTGGCAAATATGAGTGCTTCGTGTGTTGATAAACCATTTTGTATTTAGTGTTTTTATGAGCAGCCTTATAGCTGCCTAATTTTGTGTATTTCTTCTGTTTCAAAAGCAGGCATTCTTACTTAATTTTAATATTTTAATCAAATGTTTAATTTTAATTTGACACAAAAACAAATGAACAAAACTCTGTAAACAAATCCGCAGAGCAGGAACAGAACCAAACTCAGTAACCAAACAGTATGTCTGGAGAGCAGTTTCTCCTCTGAGTTATTATCTTTTCTGTTTTTGAGAAGACTCTTTCCGAAGGTGCAGCTGTAATGCATAGTCTCCCCTCCATCACCTTCACCAGGTGTGGAAAACTGTGACCTTGGCCTGCCACCAGCTCAGGGGGTCTTCTCCATGTTGGAAAGATAACATCTCATCTCTCAAGATAGCATTGCATCTCCAGTAGAGCATCAGCTCTTTGCAGCATCTCCTGTAGCTCTTTCGTTAAAGAGTCTCCACACAGCAGAAGTTTGTGGCTCCTCCTCCAATTGGCCCTCTAATGATGGAGCTGGGTGGCTGCTGGGGGTGCATTTTGCTGCTGAGGCAGTTATTCTCTGAAGTGCTTCATCAACAGCTCTGTTGTCACTTAATTAAGGCTTTTTAAACCTGCGATCCAGTAATGCAGTTTCTGAGAGGGTAGTGTTGAACTCCATATGCAGAAATGTTTGGTCCATGGCTGAATAAAGAGGTGCAACCAATTCCAACCAATCATGCTGTGTGTGATGTATGTGGGAGGACAGTGGCAACACAATAAACCTTGTTTAAAAAAATTGGGGAGCTGGCTCTCACTTGATGGAAGTTGGCTCTTAGAGTCGATGCTTTTGCACATGACACATCACTATTCAGAACTAATCTTATCTGTTCCACGGTCTAAATTTGGTAGGGACAGAGCCTTTCTGTGGCAAGTCCCAGACTCTGGAGTAGTCGGCCTCTAAATATTAGGTCTGCACAAATGCTGGAACATTTTCAGTCTTTACTGAAGACAAATACCTTTGACTGGCTTTTAGCACACGTCGATGCACTTTTTGCAGCATGAGATGTTTGAAATGTGCAATACAAATAAACTTGACATTGACCTTGACAATAGCTTTTTTTTTTTTTTTTTTTTTGGCCTGTCCCGTTTGGCTCTTTTGCCATCCGAATTGTTGTCTAAAGGCAAAGAAAGATGCCCAACGGATTTACTTTACCAAACTGACCATCTCAGCCTTGCCGTAATGGTCCATTTGATTCACCTTTTATTGTTTATTTTATTTTCACTTACTGAATACGGGACAGACTTGACTGGGGGAAAGAAGGGGAGAAAGAAAGAGGGAAAGAGAAACAGCTGAGAAGAGGGACGGGGGAGAAGGGCAAAAGACAAAAACCAACAGAACGGGCAGAGAAAAAAAATGCATATATCAATCACCTGGATCACCTGCTGAGAAAGAAAAAAGAGAGCAAGCAGAAGAGAACAAGAGTAATAGAATAAACAACATCACAATGATATATGGGAATATGACAGTAAATACTAAATGTTAAACATTGTGCAGCACATAAGATCAACAGAACACAGTGTGCTTTGAGGTAGGAGCCAAAAAGGGTGTAGTTTGTGGGTATGATCACCCGTGTGTACACCTGTGAGCATGGACGCGCTTGTTTTTTGTTTTTTTAAAAGGTTCCTTCATGTAATAATCTGCTAGAGGGTGTGGGGGGGCCACAGCCCCGTCCTCCAGGGCGTGAAGCAGACCTTGACAATAGCTACCGTAACTACAGTTATTGTGTTCCAGTGAGTCCTGTAGACTGACAGAGTTACAGAGTTTGTCTCTCAGCTGGTTCTTTGGATGCTTTTAACCCCAGTAAGGACTTAAGACTCTCAGTGTTGGTAGTGAAATTTGTTTCTTTGATAATTGTGTGTTTTTACAGTCCATTCCACCCCCCTCCTCGGCAGCGGCGCCACGGACTACACCTCCGTCACAGTGTTGTTCTGTGTTCATCTGCAACCCAGACTACAAATCTCTCTGTAAGTCTTTCAGACTGATAGATGTCAGTGACTTTGTTCTGCTGTTTGAGATCTGCTCCACTTTGTTACACAGCCTGAAAGTTACATGTCTGGAAGTAGTCAGGCCTGGGTGTGACAGTGAAAGTCAGCTTTCAAAAAGTTGCGGTTAAGCACAGTTAACTCATAATTTAATGGCTCTGCATGTGAGGACCCAGGAGAGCTCTATCCCTATCTCTGATGTCCAAACTTAGCCCAACATTACTCAGGTTGAGCCTTCACAATGAAACCAAAACAGACCAATCAAAACACAAAAAGTGAATATCCTGCACTAAACGCCAGCAACCGAGACAGTTTTCTTATTCTGTGTTATTCTATCCATTTTCTTCCGCTTATCCTGTGCCAGGTCACTGTGGCAGCAGCCTAAGCAGAGAAGCCCAGACTTCCCTCTCCCCGACCACCTCCTCCAGCTTGTCTGAAGGGAACACCAAGGTGTTTCCAGGCCAGCTGAGAGATATAATCTCTCCAGTGTGTCCTGGGTCTGCCCCGGGGCCTCCCCCCAGTGGGACTTTCCCAGAACACCTTACCCGTACAACGATTGTATTAGTAGGGTGGCTGCAGCTCAGGTGTCAGAGCAGGTCACTTACTAAACGGAAGGTTGGTAGTTTAATCCCATTCTGCTCCTGTCTGCATGCCAAATATCCTTGGGCAAGATACTAACCCCATGTTGCTCTCCGATGCATTCATCAGAATACGAATGCGTGTGAGTGTTAAATAGGATTGAATGGCCTCTAGCAATGGGCCAAAAACCCCATATTCCCGAAGCACCTCCCACACTCCGAAGGACAGTATTAAATGCCTTCTCCAAGTCCACAAAACACATGTAGACTAGTTCGGCAAACTCCCATGCACCCTCAAGTATCCAGTGTTCAGTGTTTCACGACCAGGACAAAAACAGCATTGTTCCTCTTTTACCCGAGGTTCGACTAACGGATGGACTCTCCTTTCCAGCATCCTGGCATAGACTTTTCCAGGGAGGGGTGTGATCCCCGTATAGTTGAAACACACCCTCTGGTCCCCCTTCTTAAAGATGGGAATCACCACCCCTGTCTGCCAATCCAGAGGTACTGCCCGTGATCTCTCCGCAACACTGCAGAGAAGTGTCAACCAAGACAGCCCTCAGGGCGGACCTCATCCACCCCAGAGCCTCTGCCACCAAGGAGTTATTTAACTGCCTCAGTCACCTCAATCCACAGCATGTCTTTATCTTGTTTTCCTTCTCTCACCCCAACCGGTCACAGCAGATGGCCGCCCCTCCCTGAGCCTGGCTCTGCCGGAGGTTTCTTCCTGTTAAAAGGGAGTTTTTCCTTCCCACTGTCGCCAAAGTGCTTGCTCATAGGGGGGTCATATGATTGTTGGGTTTTTCTCTGTATCTATTATTGTACGATCTACTGTACAGTATAAAGCACCTTGAGGTGACTGTTGTTGTGATTTGGTGCTATATAAATAAAATTGAATTTAATTGAACCCAGAGATAGGTGAGCTGTCCTCTAGCCGTCCACAGGGGATTAAGGAGGTCCTCGACGTATTCCTTCTATCAGGGCCTCAGTGCCTGCCCACTGCGCGGCACACAATGCACCCAACCCCTACGGCGCCTCCTGCAGGTGGTGGGCCAGCAGGAGGATGGGCCTATGTCCCTTTTCTGGGCTGTGCCTGGCCGGGCCCCATGGACTAAGCCCTGGCCACCAAAAGCTCACCCTCGGGCAGCCTCCCCACTGTCCCTGATCCCTGGGACACACAAACCCCTCCAAAATGATAAGGTAGTGATTTTCGGAGTGGTGCTGTATGTAATGTGTAATTTTAAATGTAATAAATGTCATTTTTACCTTCCAGTGTAAAGCACCTTGAGGTGGCTGTTGTTGTGATTCAGAGCTATATGAATAAAACTGAATCGATTTTGCAAATCTTCTTTTGACTGATTTATGAAATATTCCAACAAAGTATAATAAAATATTACTGAAATGTTTTACTTCACAGGAAAGTTTACTGTTACAAATTTATTGAGACCATCTAGTGTATGTGAGTTCCATTTATACTCTTTGCATGGTAACTGTGAGGTGTTTGTGCCGCAGACTGAACCTGGACCAAGAGACTAAGAATCAGGCCAACAGCTTCTCAGCTGAAGGATGCAGAGAGGACACTTTCCATCAGGACAAACCAGGATCAGAGAACCCGTGACACTCATCTCTCTTTGAAACTATGGCCGCTTCAGATCCCTCAGCTGACTCTGAACTCGAGTATTTATGTTTAGCTCATCTGAACATATGTGGTCTTAGGAATAAGCATCCTGACGTTGAGAAAATATTAACAGATTCTAACATTCATGTGCTGGCGTTAACTGAAACTCATTTAGACAACAGTGTTAAAAACTCTGAACTACATATAGAGAAATTCAGGTTTTACAGGAAGGATAGAAACAGCAATGGAGGTGGTGTCTGTTTCTATATTCACGATCACATGACAGTTATTCAGCGGTATGACTTGGATCACAAAGATCTCGAGATGATCTGGGTTGAGATTTACCTTCCAGATACCAGACCAGTGTTAGTGGGATGTTGTTACAGACCATCAGGCAGCAAAATAGATTATTTAATTAAAATCTGCAGAAAAATAGAAATGGTGTCAAATGAAGACAAAGACATTTTCCTTCTGGGAGACTTTAACTTTGACTGGTCGAAAGAGTCTACAAAAAAGACAAGGATTGATTTTGTCTCCTCTGTGTGTGGACTGACCCAGATCGTAAAAAAGCCTGCCAGGGCGCACGTGACAAATTCACGATCCACATCAAAATATATTGATCACATCTACACAAATATTCCAGCGCTCTGCTCAGAACCAGACGGTCACCAAGTTAAATCAATCAGTAATCATAAGCTCATCACTGCCACTGTACGAAGAAGAGTCCCCAGAAGCAGAAACTCAGAAACAGATCCCCTCAGTGAACCCTTAAAGTCTCCTCCTGTTCTTTCTGAAGTGTCTCCATCAGAGTTTCTTATTAAAAAGAAGATCATGGAAAACAAACATTGTTCTCTTGAGTTTAGGAAAGTTGAGGATAAGGAAGTTGAGAGGTTGATGTCCCACGTTGATGCTTATGTTCTACAAACTGCAGCTCCATCCATCTCTGCTCCCATATGTCACATCCTGAACTCGTGCATCCACCGCGGCAAGTTCCCATCAGAGAATCTTGAGAGCTGCGTATTCCGTCCTGATCCGATCCTGGAGAAAGTACTCCTCCAGCAGATGCAGGGATACTTTTATAACAATGAACTTTTCACTCATCATCAAACTCTTGGTGACATAACTGATCATTGGCTCACAGAACTGAAAAAAAAAAGAAAAGTTGGAGTTGTATTCATAGATTTCAGTTCGTCCTCTGATGTCATCAGTCCTAATCTGCTGCTTCCCAAACTGAAGTCTTACCATTTCTCAGATTCGGCCATTTCTATAATGAGAAGTTTTCTCTCTGATGGAAACAGCTGCTCATGTCGCTGGACAGACACTCACTGTGAGATGCCACGAGGAAGCTGCATGACTCACTTCCTGTTCTCTGTTTATACAAACGATCTGAAAGTTGCTTTAAAAAGTGCTCATGTTGTTGTGAGTAACAGTAAGCTGATGATGTATCACTCAGAAAAAAAGCACCAGGATTTACAGGAATTGTTGAGAGATGAATCAGAAATTGTGCGTGGCTGGCTCAGAGAAAACAGCATGGTTTTAAAGACGTTCACATCAACAGTAATCAGAACCACGACGCAGGTGAAGAAAATACAAACACTCCTCAGAGCCACACTCAGTGTAAATGTGCAAGAGTTTAACTGGATCGGAATATTAGGAGTTTTACTGCACGATGCTCCTCATCTGGTTTGGACATCTTAATGAAATCTTTCTGAAAGAAAAGCTTTGGTTTGAAAAGGAAGTGCTGTACAGTTTGCTCCTCCCCCTTTTCAATGTAAATATTTATTCTCTCATTTGAGTCTCTTCAGAAGTGGAGAATTTTGTACTCTACCAGTCTGCACCCTGGAAGTCTGTCTGGTGAGATATTTAATTATAGAGGTGATTTATTAGATTATTAAGAATGAGAAAATATTGAAAGGTTGTTGACTTTAGAAGCCAGTGTGTTTTAACTACTCTCTTCATATTTTAATGGTCATTTTATCACTTAATGTGCTTTTCTGTGGTTACATAATTTTATCACTTTCTTTATTTGTGCGCTTCGAAGAAGCAGTGACCAGCAGTGTGTGTGTGTGTGTGTGTGTGTGTGTGTGTGTGTGTGTGCACAGAGAATGAAATAAAATAGGAAAATGGACATTTTGGGATGGATGTGGTTTTTACTGCAGTAGTCTGTTAGGGTTGGGGGTCACTGCCTCTGTTGAATCATGTTCCTTGTTTTTGTAAAAAAAATATATGTGCTCATAAAAAATTTAAAAAAAACACTTCTTCTTTTTATTGTTGTGGGTCTTCACCTTACAATTTAAACCGTCTAGGCATTTTATCAATAAAATTAAATTCTTCTTCTCCCAGCCGTTCACTCCAGAGCAGGATGCTCTTCTGCAAGTGCTCAGAGCATCCTGCTCACTGAAAATCTGAACACCAGACTGTGTTGAAGAATGAAGAGTTGTACAAACTTTGTTTTTGCCTCATGTGCTGTATTTACATGATGTTAGCATGTTTCAATAAACCACTGCACCTATTTCCCACTCAACACTTTTGCATAGTACTGTATATCCATTAGTCAGGTTCATGGTCCCTGGGTATAACATGGAAGTACTCAGTAGAGAAGTGAAAACTGGATATCAGCCTTCTGTTACTACAGTAACATCACAGCAGCCCCGTTATTGGTCACATGATGTCATTAAAATGCTCCAAAGGCCAACAGCACAGACAGGGTCCAGAGGTCCAGTTCAGCTGAAGCTAGCAGACAGATAGTAGCTACAGCTGCCTGTGTCACCATCCACGTGTCAGTCACAGAGGCCACGCCCCTAATAATGAAAAACAGTCAGAGGTTTTACAGAGAGGTGGAGGAGGCGGTGTTTTTGATTAGAGGGCAGGTTGTAAATAAATTTAAACCTGTTCATTTATTAGTGACTTTATGTTGTTTTCATGTTTAGAGTGAAATCAAACTTTGGGTGTCACAGCTTTATTTTACAGAAGTAAACAAACCCATTCATTCTTTCACATCCGAAGCGTGTCAGGTGTTTTTAAATGTATGTGCTTTAAATGATCGTGGAATCACTGAAGCCAGCGGAGATGATCTAACTAAAACATGGAAAAGAAACCGAAACCAGAGACTGAAAATCCAGAAATATCAGAGTGAGGGTTCTACATGTGACGTGAATCCAGTGTGAACACATGTGTCTGAGCTACACCACCTCCACCATTCACAGCAGCTTCGTGAGCCAACACGAAGGTGGAGGAGGGGCTACTATAATTAACTGCGGGAGTAAGAACAACTGAGCACAGCTATTGATGAGGCAGCTAACTCCCAACCCCTGACCCTTCCTGACGGTGCCGTTCTGCTGCCGCTCGTGAGCACTGTGTGTAGGAGCATACCACAGCTGGAGCTGTGTGTCAGGCCCAGATGTTTCCAGTTAATGTCTTTAAATCTCAAACAGACGGGGAAAGAAGGAGGCGCAATCATAATTGGACATTTCAGACTCATTCAAAGGACAAATGTCCTGGAGAATCATTGGAGGTGGGGGTCAGGGTGTTGGCTGGAAGGTGGAAGATGATTAAAGTTGACCTTGAGCCTGAGGGAGAGAAAACTAAGATGGATGGATGAGAATTAATGACAGAGGACCAGACAAAAGGAAATCAATAACCAGCAGATCAATAGCAGCTTAATTTTTTAAAAGCCCTGAAGGTCTGAGGTCATCTGGGTGTCACAGTTTGTACACTGTCCACTTCTTACTGGCCAGAGTTGCAGTGAATGGTATGGGTCGACCCCACAGACGGAGGCGGCTGATTCCTCCGTCCGGAGCGATGATAAGTCGGACGTGGGTGACAGGATGGCTCAGTTTCAGCTCCATCTTGCCGTAGTGATGAATGTGATGAGGGCGGAGCTGCAGAGAGGTAGGAGGCGGTGAGGAAGAGGATGAGAGGGTGAAAATGATTTAACAGGTGACAAAGGTTACCTTCTGAGGAGGGAGAAGGACCCTCCATTTCCCAGAATTCCACCTACTGCTGATACACTGAGCCTTCTCCTCAGGGGTCAAAGTGCATGCCTCGATCCTGCATGAGTCTGGGAAGTTTCCTGGAGAGGAAAGTGTCAGGCTGAAGAGCTAAGTTTGTTTTTAAAGGAAAGAAAAGCAGCACTGACGTGTCTCCACCTTTGAAGTGGTTGGTGTCGACCTCAACGCTGCTGATCAGTCCGGGATGACCGAGACGAAACACCGCCCACTCCCAGCCGGGAACCTGCAGGATCCCACGCTGGTCTGCCTGCAAGATTTGCAGCAGGGAAGCATTTAACCCATATCTATAATGTAATAATATTTATGTTCACGGTTGGAGAAACAAGAAGTTAATAATATTATATCATTATAGTACAATGAATTGTGACACTGAGGACAGCTTGAAAAGAAAGTGGAAACCTTTCTAATGAAATGAAACATTTTAGAGAGAGAGAGGACTCTCTGACAAGCAAGGAAACTGTTGGTAGTAAATGAAGTCAATCAGAAATTGATGTTTTTCACTGTGTAGACACTGCTGGAGGACATTTGGTCTTTTTTGCTATGTGAAGAGTTTTTATAAAGGTGTCAGGAGAGTGCACCACTTTTACTTCTGTGGGATTTAACCTTTATAAATGTGTAAAGGTTAGAAACTTTAAAGACTTTTCCTTATTTCCTCTCATGTTCCTCCAGTTCAGTGGTTTCACACAGTTTTTTCTGCTCTTGGATCTTTATGATGTCGGAGAAACGTGCTGTCAAAAATCCTTTGGGCCAGCCAATCAGAATAAAGCTGGCTGTGAATCATGTACAGCTGCTTTAACGTATAGAGCCGGAGATGTGACATTAGTGTTGTCAGCGTGCACACCTGCAGTTTTTTGGGTCGGTCCAGTCTGCGGGCCGTTTCCCATCCATCGGCCATGTTGGCAGCTCGACCAAGTCCTGCAAACACAGCACACCAGTTTGACCAGAGCTCCCAGCTCATTCACAACAGAGACATTCAACCCAATATTATCAATATATATATTATATTGAAATACAGATTATTGTACTATCTGATGTTAACCAATCATATTGCGTGGATGCCCAAAGTGGGCGTCACTGTAGCCGAGGCAGACTCCTCCATTGGTCAGAGCCACTAGGTCAACATCCTGATTAGTGGAGACAGATGACCAGTCCCTCAGCCCAACACCGTACACCCGCAGTCTGGCTATGCCTCCATCTGAAACACAGTATATTGTAGATGCATATAAAGTTGCACAGAGCATGTGTGTGTGTGTGTGTGTGTGTGTGTGTGTGTGTGTGTGTGTGTGTGTGTGTGTGTGTGTATGTGGGTGCATGTTGAGGCGCAGGTGTGTCACTCTCCTGCTGAAGCTGACTTTGAAGTAGTTATGGCAGCAATCCGAGTATCCAGGCTGCAGCTGCGACACAC